ACAATTGAGCATTACCGCCTAAGTAGTAGACAATAGAGCAAAAATCACAATTGGACATTACCGCCCAAGTAATAGATATTTGAACAGAAATTACAATTGAGCATTACCGCCTAAGTAGTAGACAATAGAGCAAAAATCACAATTGGACATTACCGCCCAAGTAATAGATATTTGAATAAAAATTACAATTGAACATTACCGCCTAAGCAGTAGACAATAGAGCAAAAATCACAATTGGACATTACCGCCTAAGTAATAGATATTTGAACAAAAATCACAATTGAACAATACCGCCTAAGAAATAGAAATTTGGGTAAAAATGACAATTGAAATGATTATTTTGGAAAGAAGAAATATCATTTCCAAATAAAATAATATCAGAGATTTTATAAGTGACACATAACCTGACATTACCTTTGTATTACCTTCACGATTGACATATATTATATAACCTTTCCCTTTACATTTTCATCATCTAAAATTATCTCTATATTATTCCTGAAATTGTTTTAACCTTAAACAAAGTATCCTTTTCTTTCCGGTTAAATTATTTTAACCTTGAACAAAGTATTCTTTTCTTTCCGGTTAAATTATTTCAACCTTGAACAAAGTATCCTTTTCTTTCCGGTTTATTTTTGGTTTATTTTATTTTTTATTTACCTAATTCTTATCTTCAAATTATACAGGTAAGTGTTTATACATCTATACATTATGTCTATCATTTACACATTCGAATCCATTTATTGTCCTATCTTCTAAATCATCACAAGCTATCTTTTAATCAGTAATTTTTCTAGAATCAATTTTATATAAGAATTTTTAATAGCAAAAATTATTCAATCAATAATTCGATTATATTTCACATCATTAATGATTGGTTATTAGTAAACGCAATCTTCAATACCTTCAATCATTAGTAATAATATAAATTGGATTTTTTTTGATTTTGAAATTTCATTGTCAAGAAAAAAAAAAAAAATTTGACAATTTCTGTAGTAATTTTCTTGGGAAAAAAAGCAAAATTTTCTATTTTGTCATTGAAAAATTTATTTTAAAGCAACAAATGTAAACAAAAAATTTTTAATAAAAAAAGAAAAGTAAAAATATGAAAATAAAAAAATCTCTCTTATCATTCATTAATCATAAACATCTCTTTACAATCATAATAATTATTCATTTTTTTTCTCACGATTATCATTGTAAGATAATTTAGATTATTCTCTTTTTTTTTCTCCCTTTCATGAATCATGAAAAAAATTTCAATGTTTTTTAATTAATTAATTAAAAAAAAATTATTTTTTCTTCTGTCTAAGATATCAGTTCAAAAAAAAAAAAAAAAAACGAAGAAAATGGATATTTTTAAAAAATTTGCATTAATGAAAAGGTCATTTTATAACCTTTCATTCAAAAAAAGCTTATCATTTCACCGTACGCAAATATGCATTTAACATCTACAAATTTGCTTATTTTTAAAGATATTTTCCGCATAATTTATTTCCATATTGATTGGAAAAAAAAAAAGAAAACACTTCAAAGGACATAAATTAATATACTTTTTTAGCCTCATAAAACCTTAAAACCTTTTAGCACGCTATTGTATAGAAAAAAAAATTCCATAAAGGAAAAGCCCCGCACCCTCTTGCACATTCCTTCCTGCGGAATTTTATTTTCCACCGTACTCTCCCGCACATTCCTTCCTG